CTCACAAACAATTTAAGCTTCAATTTCTAAAAGCTGTATAACAGTAAAACCAATAACAAAGACCAAAACCCTATAAAACAGCAGACTTTGACCAGCTAAAACTAAAACCGAAATTTACACAACAACCTTTGTTTTGGCGTTGTCTTATCCTTGATAATGTTTTTCTTTTTCTTTTTTAACTGCGCCGTGAAACCTCAATTTAATTTAAATACATTTCTTAATTACTCTATAACTTGATTTTGTTTGTTGCACAATCCAGTTGCTTTCTTAATAAATTAAAAATACTCAAATAAAACTTGTCTTGAAATTGCTATTCTTTCAGTACGATCACTTGGTAGTCAATGACACTAGCATTTTACAGTAAGAGCCATTTACATATTGCAAATAACGAACCTTTATTTGTTTGGCTATTGAAAAAATAAAATACAATATTAAATAAATTTGTATTAGAAAAGAATAAGCAGAAATCAAGGCTGCTACTTAACTATTGTATGTACAATTTGTTCACGATTTCGATATCGCTCAGAGTCTAAGTACATAAATACGTTAGCTACCAAATTTTTTGGTTTTCTTAAGCAAATAAATAAGTAAGTAAGTAAATAAGTTATAGTGACAATGGTGCTAATTCTGTTGTTCGAAAACTTTAAACTAAATTAAAAATCACTAAAAGTTGGTTTGGTCCTGTCAAGTACTACGTTTTCAGAATACGAATTCGAACAACAGAATAAGCACCATTGTCACTATAACTGATTTACTTACTTACTTATTTAATTACTTAAGAACCAATATGGACTTTTTACAGAGAGAACATGGCTGACAGCTAAGCATCGCTGATATGGTAGTACGAAGCTTATTGAATATGTAATATCTCAATCAGTAAGTATTTTCTTGGAAAACAAGAATAAAACTGTTTTTGTTGGAAGCTGAGCAAACACTTACCTAATAGTTTTGAGTGATTACGTACGAAGTTAGTACTGTTGCCTACGTCATTGCTACTAAAATTGAAATGCTGAGAGTTTGTCTGCTTATTTGTTCCAGATTTATATTTGGAACACATCGTAACAGCGTGTAATTATTTGATAAACCAGCTTTGTTTACTCCTGATGGTGGATGGAAACATAGAGATGCCATGACAACGCTTTATAGAGCCAAAGCAACCCAAAAGCGTTTTATAAAATGAAGTAAGTGACACACTTTTAAACTTCACATGTGGACATAATATTAAAAATCTTTTTGATAACACTATTTGAATTCAGAGTGAAATATAAAGCTAGTAAATCCTGACATCAGCTGGAGAGTTAGACAAATATTTAAGACTCTTTTGACGTCAACGGATGCAATATTATGTTCTATTCGTTCTACGGTCAAATCTTTAGTGCTGGAATAGAGAAAAACATCACCAAGTATTTCTGCCTGTACACGTATTCGCAATACATTTTCTGAAGTATCGTGTCGAATTCATAGCGTCTGAAGTTTTATTTCAGCGCCAAACGTAAAACAATATACGGCCGTATGCGACAAAGGATTATTTTTACAAAAGGAAATTGCTTCACAACATGTAACCAACAAAACCAAGTCTGGTTTCAGGTGAACCAAATTTATATACCAGATTTTAAATAAATAAATAAAGATTTATTTGTTTAGAATAGGTATAACAACGATTCATTTATTAGATTCAGCATTTAGTTTACAATGAACTCATAAAGAAGTACAATGCAAATACATAAGAGGTTGCATTCACATATCCGTGGCTGGCGTGAACACATTGAAATGTCAACATCTTTGTTTTTTTATTGGCTTAATAGTTCCTACACACTTAGTATTTATATGAAAAAAATACAGCCAATTATTTCATATTTTCGGAGCATTGCAATTTTAGACATGTCAACATATTCACGCCATTGACAGATATAATCTTGAAGAGTATTAAAAAAAAATAACTTATTTGGAACAGTTCATGGGAAAACTGATAAGTCAATTATTTATTGCTTCACATTATAATTATAATAGTCTGCCATGTTAATTGAAAAGCCATCGTTATTGCCCCGGCATCACCGCCGTGCTCGGAATTGGGCAATTTAATTGACAGTGATTGATAATTTAGATAGAGGTTATTACCGACCTTTCAGTGACATCGACGGGTTGTTATTTATTTATGTCAGATTTTGAGAACACGGGGAGCAGAATATTATATAGCACTTAAAATATGAAATGTTCGGATATTTACTACTAAACTTTTATTTATATTAAAGGTCGCCTGTTGTCGTCCGTATTGATCGAATTCTTTTGTTTGATAGAAAAATATACTGTCATTGTACCTTTTTTTTTTTTTTTTTTTTTTTTTCCGTGCGGAAATCCCCTCGGATACCACCTGTCGGTGGCATGTCGGACACGAACCGACTAAAACCGCACGCCTTCGCCGGGTACTAATAGCCGGGGAACCAGGTATACCCTAGAAAGGAAGGCCCTGGTGCCCCGACATACCTCGGGTCATCTACAGACGAGTAGACGACCCCCGCCCCGTGTGGGAACCCCATGTTCCCTGTGCTCCCTGGAAGCGAGCGCGCTTCGCAACGCGCTCGCCGCCTCCCCGGCCTGCTTCTGCTAGGGTGACAGATGGCCTCACCTGTCACCCCCAGGCCTGCGCTTATGGAGGACGGAGGTCGTTCTGCGACCTCCGGCGCCTGAGTCGCCTGCGCTGCCTGGCCCGTGCCCGGGCCTGGCGGGCCGGGAGAGTACTAAACCTCTCCCGGTCCCGCTCCGCCGTCTCCTTCGCGAGCATAACTTGCTCGCAGAAGGAGACGGCAGAGTTCCACGCACTCTCGCTCCGCACGATAGCCGCAATCAGGCTATCGAGCGAGAGAACTCCCACTCCGATGGCCGCCACGAGGTCTCGCCTCTGCTCAACCCACGCCGGGCACTCTGCCAGCGTGTGGAGTTTGCTTGGCCAGGCGTTGGCTCCTTGCGGATCAGACACATGTGATCTCCGAAACATCCCTTCCCAGTGATCACCTGCGTCAATCGGTATGAGAGGGTCCCGTGACGCCTCTCGAGCCAATCCTCCATAACGGGTCTTACCGCCGCAATGACGGCGTGCCCGGCGCTCGGACTGTCATTGTACCTATAGACTTTCAAATCATGACAGGTCAAAATATAATTATATTGACCCGATATAGTTTAAATGACTAGTAATTTTTATATATTTTTATTACGTAATGTTTATAAATATTAGCTTTCTGCGCTTCTGTTACATATAAACTTTAAGTATTCTAAATATTATATATTTTTCTTTAAAAAGGGTTACAAATAATATTCTTTACATATTAAGATAAAGATTGTTTTATAAGTAGTTAGGTTAACTCAAAACAAAACAGTAGGTATGAATATCAGCAAAATCGAAAACTTTAATGAGTAAGTTTTCATTAACCTATCGTAAAATATGTACAAACTCGTGTTAAAACTGATAAAATATTTTTATTAACACTGTCATAACAAAGTTTAATTTAAATTATTTAATTTGTTTATGTATTCTTGATTGCAAACTTTTTGTGGATTATTACATGTATATAGTGGAAAGACACAAATTTAGCAACATAACGAGTATGCGTTTGCGACTTTGAGTCACCAAAGGCCATTTAGCACAGATTTAGACGGTCCAAATATTTTCACGGGCGACGCTCTTGCCTCGGCTACAAGTACTATAACTGTGTGCCTCAGCAAACATATTAAAAATATATACAGGATACAGCTGTATAACTGCAATGGGATTTTTTTTTTTTACGAGTAGACGGGTCACTAAATAGTAATTGAGTACCGTCACCAGCGGACCCCACAAATATCATGAGACACACATGAGTTACCGACCCCCGACCCCGTTAAGTTAAGCAACGAAAGAATTGTTTAACACCGGTTTCCTGTGACGCCGTGGTATCACTCCGCTCAAGTCGGCCCATTTATGCCTAAAAATTTCTCTTCCACGAGAATAAAGATAATAAAGTTTCCATTTCGTGTAATATAAAAATGAGACACGTTAAAAATGTCATAATATGTAATATAAATTGTAAAACAGCCATATTGTATCAATTAAACAAATCAAAATGCTTCTAGAACTAAGTATACACTCGTATTAATTAACCCTGTTATCAATAATTAACGAATGTCGATGTGCTGTTCAGTCTTGATCTAATTATTTGATTGTGTGCATTACTCGTGATAAGACAGTTATCCACAGTCGGCAGAGTAGCAAACAGCTGTCTATCACCTGCCCGAGCGATTGCTATAGGACCGTGAAATGATATTATTCATGAAACAGTCACTGAATACAATACTGTTGTTATAATATCATCAATGTCATGAACATATAAACGTATAACTATATGTGTTTTCAAATCTGCAAGTATAATTGCTATCTCTATCCACGTCAATGCTATCAGTAAAAGGCGAGTGAGACCAAAACAGTGTACCTATTATCGTAAAACTATATCTTCGTTGATTTAACTAGTTCAATTTGAAACAGATGCAACATGAAAATTCATTCACGCAATCATTTAATTTATTGCAGTTACAATAATAGAATATGCTATTTATAAGTAGTAAATTGTTTTCATTGTTCAAATATACGTAAATATTTCACATTTCAAAAGTTTAACACTATCAACATACACAGAACATGTGCTTTATATACTAATAAACATAACATGTACATGCGTCGGAAAATAAATAGAACCTACAGTGAACACATACAATATATTTTATCTGAAAACCTTGAGGTGATTTCACTTTTTAAAGCTATGAATTTAACTTACCTGATAAAAAAAATCCTGGATTTTCTCGTACCATTATGAAGCTAAATTAATGAACATACAGGTAAATATTGAATTATAAGTTTTCATGCAATGCTACATGGAACTACGTCTACTCGTAAATACAGCACACACTAAAGCATTCAAATTATTCTGTGCACTAACTAGTTATAATAAATATACAGTTATGTTAGTTTTTTAATTATAACGCAGCAATCTAAAAAAATATTTGCCAACGGCGATCACAATCACAATCACTGCACACAAAATCACAAGATGCGGAGTTACTGGTCCAGCTTTGGACTCACCGGAGCCGCCCGCGCAATGTTCTTTATCTTTCGCTGTAAAACCAACAAACTCCTGCAGATGAGTTGGTAACTTTTTAACGTCTTTTTCCTTACCACCTTCGATCACTTTTATTTTATGTTCAATCACTTTGGGTTCTTTGTAAATATCTTGAGCACTTTCCCGTTCATCCTCAGTTTCAGGGTCTTTTATACCTAACTTATCCCACCTCTCTCTTGCCTTTGATATAAACTCCTTTTCGATTCGATTGTTCACCTTTGACTCAAAGGCGTCAATGGCTGACATACTCTTTGATATTTTACTATTTACTACACCGGGAGACTTGGTAATTTTTATCACTTTGTGTTGTTTTCTTTCCTCACGTTCTGCCATTTGAGTTATATATTCAGAATACATTTTCTCCCTTACTAATTCTTCTTGACTGCTGCTGAACAATGACGACATCTTTCCTTTTTTAATCTCATGGTTTTGTGAACTCGTGGGAATATCCTTCTTGGGCAATACAGAATAATTAGAAAATATTCTCTTTTCAGTAGTAATATCATTTTCTAACAATATAGGCGCCCTCGGTCCATTTCTTTGGCCCGAAGCTGAAGTATTTTTTAACGCTTCTAGTCTCTGAATTTCAGCTTCTACTTCTTTTTCCTTCCTGCGAATATATTCCATTTGTTGCTCACACAAGTCTTTAGGCAATGATGGTCGTCTGGGATATTTATGGTCATTTAACACATCTTTCTTTTCCATGTAATTTCGATGCATGTTTTGTATTGCAGAAACATCATCTTCTATTTCTTTATTTAGATTTCCTGTAGAGTAATGGAAAATCTTTCTCTCTCTTTTCAAAGCCCTCATAGTATTTTCGGTAAAATCTGAACTTTCGTCACTTTCGTAAAATGAATTTGAATACTTTTTAGGTCGCGGTGGAGGGATAGGCTTGAAAGAGAAGTTTTCAGTAATATTCATTTCATCTTCATTATTTTTTTCAAACGTTTTACGAGTTGATCGTTTTATCTGCAACTCATCAAGACTGTTGTTTAAGCGGTCATTTAAAGAATTTATGTTGCGAGTAAGAGAGGGATCTCGAATCAATGCCAGTAAACGACTGCCAGTTTGGGATTTAAAAGGCACAATTGGCGAACTATCAATCTCTTCTTCTTCTCTTTGTTTTTCGTTTTTATAAGACTCGTTGTAGCCTCTTCTATCGACGAATTTACTGTGGATGTCGACAAGATGACTAGCATCTTCTTTTGTAATTATAGTGTTTGTTTTATCCATTAACATTTTTTGTGATGGCGATAAACAAACGTATACTGACTCAGATTTTGTTTGTACACCAGTCCAATGCTCGTCATCTTGTGATTTTTTTAAAGAAGAATGACGGGGTTGGATTGGTGGAGGTACAAGATCCTTTACTTTAGTTGGTAAAGATACTTTTTCAATAGCTGAAATATCGGGTAAGCGATAATAAGGCATGCTATTTACTTGATCTTGATTTTTGATGGTTTCAGAGTTGCTTCCTTTTGCAGTGAAATTTTGAAGTCTTTGTGATACAGATGCTAATTCTTCTAGGATTTTATCACCATAAGGTAATGATGCAATTTTTCTGACGCAAATATCTGTCAATCTCAAAGGCTGTTCAGTGTTTCGATCATTAGTTTTGCCTTTATGTTGTGTAGCAGCTCCTGTAACACAGTCAAAAACATCTTTCACATGACTTGTAGTCGAAGATGTTTGTTCTGCACCTAATTTACTGCTATTTTCGTCATGCAGAATGTTAGATATATCATTCAAGGATTCATAATTGGGATTATATTTAGCAGTGCATTGGGAGGAATCCACACTACTAGATGAATCTTTTCGTGTCAATAAATCTTTTGGGGTTTCTTCAAGTCCTTCTGAATCGGATGTAACTTCTTTTATCAAGTTGTTTATGGCATCATTGAACTCGCATTTTATAATTTTCGTTTCTAAATCATATTTACTTTGATAACTTTGATTTGTAGTGTTCTTGTCAGCTTTAAGAGTTTCAACATCTTTCTGATTACGTTTTATTGGATCAATTTCTTTAACATATAAATTTGTTTTGATATCATCAGTTGAGGAGACTATTATTTCATGCAAATTTTCCACATTGCTACTTTCTACTTTCTGTTGTACTTCAATAGGGTTCTTTTCTATCTCAATATTTATATTTCTTTCGGTACCTACACTTTCATTGTCAGGTAGGTTTTTATTAATAGGTGTACTTATGTCATCGAGTTGTTGTAGATTACATTCCGATTCAATTTTAGTTACGGTTTTATCAATTTCTGCTGCTTTTTTATCATCTGCGTATTCTATTTTTATTACATGTTCAACTTCATTCTTTTTCGAGTTCGGGTATTTTTCTTTATCTGCATTGCTATATGTATTATTTTGTGAGGTCCTTAATAGTTCATTTTCCTTTCCACTCTGTGCAGCAACAACAAAAGTTTTTTTTAAGAAATTCTCTGGATCTGTTACTTCTATAGTTGGCGTCATCATACGTACTGAAACGTCAGTTTCTACACCATCATCATCCTCATCACCGATTTCATGAAGAGAACTACTACTACTTGATGTGTCAGTTAAATAGACTACTTCAGCCCCAGTCATTTTTTCTACGGTCTTCATAGTCCATTCTCCTCTGGCTTCTGTTACTTCTGGTTCCTTAAGCTTAGCGCCTACGAGGACACATTCTTGAGGTACCAATTGTCCAATACTTTTTTTATGAACAGAAGTATTAGATGATACTAACTTTCGTTGAATTACTTTATTTTTATTGTTTTCAAACACATCATCTTCTAAGTCTTCGACGTCACTTTTTCTTTCACTTAGATAAGACTGACGTCTTGATGTCAAAGACGATTCACTGCTTCCTTCTTCGTCGATAACATCTAAGACCCTTGGTGGACCAAGACGATGTAAGAAAAAGTCGTCTGCCAGTCCCTTTTTGCGCAGTCTTTGTTTAATTTCTTGGTTTATTATTTGTTCTATTTCTGTTTTAATTTCAATTGCGTTTATATTTTCTGGTTCTGTAACTAAATTAAGAGTTTTTAAGTAACTCCTCAGTGATTTTTCTTCATCAGTCGTTAATGATTGGTTTTGTTCACATCGAGCTACATTACATTGAGTAAGTGGTATTGTGGTGACCGATAATGTGCCCGTTGCTACCTCTTGTGATTGGGGTATATAAATATCATTTAATTCATCTGTTTTTTCCCACTCTGGGTCAGATTCAAAATGAGATACTACCAAATTCTGGGTACCCATTGATGCCAAATTATCATCACATTCTGTTTGGAAAGTGTTTTCAGTTATTTCGACTATATTTGTGGTATCGTCGTTGTCAAGGCTTTTACTTTTTACATTTTTTAATTTAGTTTTAGAATTATCAAGAGGCTGGTCGGGAGATTCAACAATGTATGCAACTGAGTCAGTAATATCTACGTCTTCAGGTTTATTCAGCTCTAAATCCGATAAAGGGTCATTGTTAAGTTGATTACTATTATTATTCCAGTCTTCGTTTGGAGAATGTATAGTAGAAAGAGAAACTTCTGAATTTTGACATTCTTTAGTGTCAGTTATAACCTCATTGCGACTGGATACTGTTTCATCTAAAACCTCTTTAGGAACCGCATCTGTTTCTAGGAAATTTTTGACGTTATCATCGTCACACGTCTCACTATTGTTAAAACTCAAATTATTTACATCACTATTTATATTTTTGTTAGCATCCGGTCTACTATTTTTATTTTTACGCTTATTTTTATTGTTTTTACGTCGCTTAGGTCGGTCAGGCATGTTTGAAAAACCGCTACACTATTATCACTGGCACAACGTAATCATTATCACGCAAAACACACCGTCCATTCACAGATAGATTCACGCGTCTCGCGACGGCGGTGTTTGACGCATACAATTTTGAAGAATTTTAACCGCTGCGCGTTTTAGGGATTACGTTGGTCTTGTTGTATATATAAATCAAATAACGGTCCGTTGAACGAAGGAAACGCGATGTTTGACTTCGAGATTAGCGAATGTAATTTTCTTTTGGGCGAGCGGTCGCCGTCCGCGGCAGTCATGCACTCGCACGGCGATTTACTGATAATTATAAATGGGTTGAAGTGCGCGAGCGCTGGCTGTGGACTTTATTTTTACGCGGAGACTTGTACGCGAGTGGTGCGCGCGCGACGCCGACACTCGCCTACAAGGGAGCCCGCACGCTGCCGCCTGCTATACTATCCGACCGTATTATCATCAAGCGCAATTCAAATCGTATATTGCTAATTAATATTGTACACACGTGCCTTAACCATTTTAGGGAGGTATAACGGAGGAGGACCTATAAACACAATGGGTTTTGCTTATAAGGGTTTGTAAGGATCCAAAATATACTAACTTCGGTTTGCTTATAAACAGTCAGATATAGGTACGTTTGAATGGTTATAGACATAGAATAAATAGTAGTATGGAAAATGTGTTTCTTGCAACATAAAAATACAATATTTTAGGTGACATTAAATAAGAATACATATGTTAACAGACACTCTCAAATCATCTTAAATAGTTCAAAATGATGTGTATAAAGAAAATTTTGTGAAAATTAGAAATAATATGTTCTTTTAAATATTTGATACAGTATTTATAAAAATATCTTAGAATACAAAGGCGATAAAACTAACGTTATCACCTCATTACCTTGAGATAACAGAAAGAATCAGCTATGATCTGATTTTTATTTGTTATACAATACATTATAATATTATTAAATAAATATAAAACAGTTTTGTATACAAGCAATAATTTTGTTTCGTAGTTAATATTTTTGTCAGGTGTATATTAAGATGAAAATAATAAAACAAGTGTACTGTATTTACCTACATAAGTTATTGTATGAAATATGGGAAAAGGTAATCATAAATATGCCATGTCCTTTCATACTGAACTATCTAAATTCTAAAGGTTGACGGGTAGATAATGCCATGTGGCATTAAGTCCGCCTCGTGCAAATTGTAATGCAGGAAGTGTAAGAAATAATAATAAAAATGCTTATGTAAAAATAAGACAAATTCTAAAAATATCGTGTTTAGGTAGTATTTACATTTTGTCGGTTCAAATTCCGCTATAATACAATTATAGGTACATAGGCATGTTTGAAGAGATTAGAATTTCCAATTTTCATATCAGCACCTAGTAGCTCCAGTGATAGTGTTTAGTTCTAATTTATATCTTTCTTTTTATCAAGCTGCATACATATTTTGATATCAAAAGATTACATTTTTTTTACCTATATGTATGTAAAATACATATGAAATTACGTAGTACTTTTTACGTATAGCATTATTTGTTTTTTTTTTTCTAAAAGTCGATTACGACGTTTAATACCAGGAGCAAATATAGACAGTCATTTATTTTTTCTATCTTTAATCGTCAAGACAAGAGATTTTTAAGATAGTCAGTTTAAGGTTGACATGATCTGTATCTCACCCTTTAAATTCTAATACGAGCACGCTCCAGGGACCAGGGACCAGTGATTCATAATATCATTTATGGTACCTTTCATAATAAACGCTATCGCTTGCCCGAATTCTGTCTTGTGCTTCCAGTTAACCTTAAGATGGTTGAGTAAGACACATGGCAGGTGCATGAAGCTATGAAAATATAACATTAATTTGATAATACTATATAAAATACATAGACGAATATATAAATAACTATTAATATATTTTATATACGGAATAAAATAAATACAATAATGTCTGAGGTGACGAAATCATGAGGATATTTCTGCTAGCTGTTTCCTGTTTAGAAAGTAGAATAGATTGGACAGCGAATGAAGAATGAACAAGAGAAGTGTGTATTAGATACAGGAGGAAAAGATTATTAGTGGACCGAAGATCTCTGTCATGATTGGAGCATAGCGGTTTAAGCTATAAAGTAAGATAAGTGGGAGCTGTAGGATTATTAAGAAGAGAATAAAGGGTAGTCAAGGCCCGCAAGCTACGGCGCTGATGTATAGGTAACCATGACAGCTTGGATCGATAGGCAGGCACATGGTCGTACTTGCGGAGGTTGAAGATGAATCGAATGCAGTTGCGAAGATATGATAAAAATCATTCCAGTGCTTCGGTGGAGACCATGTAATGGGTGAGGATAGATATGAGGATATCTTGGTTGACTGTGTGAAAGGCGTTGGGGAAGTAAATCAGGATTAGAACAGTAACTTTTGCGTCTTCCACACCATTCCTAATATCGCTGATCATTTTAAGCATAGCTATAACTGTGCGATGTCCAGGTCCATTAATGTGACGGAAACTCAGCTATATTCATATGTGCACTGATATATGAATAATGTGGTAATTTAAAGTAGTTTAAATCTGAATATATTTAAAGCATAAATAACATAAGAGCATAGGTTGATTAAAACCGTTAAATTATAGTCTAATTAACAAGCACCGTTTATTTTAACTCTTTAGTTCAGTATCAGTAACACTTTAGGTCTTCTTTAGAAAATCTCAACCTCCTTTTCCTAAGGAAGCAAGAGGAGAAGGCTTTCTAATTTTATTCTACTCTTGCCTTGGAGGACTTTTCCCTATAGCAAAACCAAACCAATCAGTAAAATCAGTGTAGTTTTTAATCTACTAAATAATTATCTGTAATAAATAAAAAATAAAAATACTTATTCTGATGTCAGTGTTTGAGACGACATTGAACGAATTCAATGAGTTTCAATGACTTCACGGAAGAATACCCCCAAGTTTAAAAACGAAATCAGTAGAGCACAACCCACTGGAACAGGCAGGCTACAGTCTACTACGAAATAGTAAGTTGAAATTGATATATTTTAAGACAATGTTTACAGTTTCAGCTATCAATATTTAGAACAAGCTCAAACGCACCTTTTGCAGACAGATAAAACTAATCACTATATCAAAAGTGGTAATACTGAAAGTGCATTATGAAGTATTTAGTATGAGCAAAAGCGAGGAATCTGAAATTAGATTTTTGAGGTTGAATAAATTAATAAATTTGCCTAATAACAAAGGTACTGAGCCCCTCTCGTAGATGGTATGCATGTACATAGTATGCAGATCAACAGAAATGACGCAAAGGTGGTCACACAAAAATGCTAATACTCGAGTAACGTTCCGAATCAGGATATTGTGTTAGGTAATAGGGTACGTGGGCTAAAAGTAGATTAACTAGCCCCAGTGCAGAATCTAGACTTGCAGGTCATGTGGTCTGATTGACCACTTCCACTGTAGCAACGCACTTACATTCAATCAGTATGTAGTTACATGCGCTTGCTGTTCGAAAACAGTACATATATACTTCAATTCAAATATTAATATATGATAGAAATCGCCTAGCGTTGAACTATAATTGCATAGACTTTGTACCATGATAGGACAAAATATATACTAGACACTAGCAGTTTGTAGTCGTGTTCACGTTTTTTTTTTATTGTAACAGATATCTTTATTTACAGTTCTACAGGTACTTACACTTTAAGTATTCAGAATCTTTGCTTATAAAAAAGCATACAGAGAATTGTCCCCGCGTATTAAGACAGATTCTATCGTAATTAACGTAAGAGATTAGAAATACTCCATTCATTCAGCACTCAGTGATGGCAAAGAAGCACTATCTGATTTAAACGGAGATTCCGCTTTGACCTATCTCTCAATTATAAATGAAAATATATTATCCTAACCTAATTTATGTGTCGCCGTAATTAAATGAAGCATGTTGACCATTGACTCGAGCTAATTTGACTACTGTCTTATAATTTATTGAATTCATCAACACCGAAACACTTTTACGATGGATAAAGATCGCAAGTAGGAACATGTATAAATATTATAAATGTATCTATGTAACATGTAAATGACTTACTAAAATCAGTAAGAAAAAGTAAGTTTAACTTACTAATTCTGGTTAATTTGGCATTCCGACAAAAAAAAAGACATGAATTGAAATGCCACACCTGTATTAGGATGCTGTTTAACCTTGGTCTTGTAATCCTTTTTATCTTATAGAGAAGAGTATGATAACACGATTCTATATAGGGTTGACAAACGAACAGAAAGATAATTAATTTTTTTATCTGTGGTTTATATATTTGTTAAAAATATGTGGTTTTACTCGCAGGGATTGCCGAATAGCGACCGGAATTGGAACCAACAGGGGCCGGGAAGCAAGTTGCAAAGTGTCCTGCCGCAACTGTGTCAAGCACCAAAAAAGCTAAAAGGACCTCATCGGTTCCGAAACTGGTCTTGCATCTCCGAATTAAACACGCGAGAAAAACTATCTATATTTAATCAACAAAATGAGAGCAATTACAATTTAAGCCTAATTAATGTAAAATGACAACTAAAAATGTATTTAGTCAGTAAATGTTACAGTGTTCTATTATAGTAGAATACTTAACAACCAAAGTACATAATGTTTCATGTTGTTCGTATTGTTGTGACATATGTTTAAATACACTGGTATCTTGATGTTATGAATTGTAATGCTGAATGTTAATTTGCTATAGAATTCTGATATTTATTAATTGCTTGAATAATGCATGATGCTTTATTATTATTTAGTCTTTTTTAATGAATCAATGTAATATTTTAATGAAGAAATTATTTTATTTATATTTTCTGATATATTTGCGGTTGACAATAACTTGAAAATGTTTATTTCCATCAAATGTTTAGCCAGCATTCGCAATGTGAGCGCACAAAAACATGCACAACGTTGAAATTCTCAGATTTGCTCAGATTTCTTATTATCACATCACATCAATAGCCTTTAATAGTCTTTGCATAGCTGTAGAGGAAAACGGTCTTGACAAGAAGTCGTCCTAAGTCCTTGAAATTCAACTAACATGAAAGAGTCTTAATAGTCCACTGCTGGATATAGACCTCTCCTTAGAAAGAAGGTTTTGGCCGACTATGCCACGGTGGCCAGACGGGTTGGTATAGGGTTTGTGTCAAATTTTCCTTCTGTTTGCCGTGCTGTTTGCTCCCTTAGTCGGCTCTTACGACACCCACGGGATGAATAGGGGTGGTGACCCTCCGTATTCTTAATACGTCATTGCATGTATTGTACATGTAAACCCGCATCTGAGCCTAGCTTAGGCACCAGTCTCCCACAGTATAAAATTTTGTAATAATTCTTATACAGGCTAAAATTATGTATAAATGTATTGTGGCGAGAAAATTATCATTTTTTTATTATTATTATTATTATCTTGATCATTCTCTCTGTTGGTGGAAACCGCATTAAAATCTGTTGCGTAGTTTGAAAGATCTAAGTGTACAAGAAAAAAAAGGTTTATCCTATACCATGGAAAGATGTAAAAAATATAGATTTCACTGTATAAAATATACAGATACTATAATACCAAAGAAATTTTCCCAAAATAGCGTCAAAGTGTGCCAATGAGCAGCGTCTTTCGATGTCGGATCGGCTGGCACTCGGGGTGAGGTAATGTACTATAACAGTTTTTAATGATACACAGTCGCCTCGTGATCTATCTGCACCTATTCGAGATTATACAACATAGAAGAAAAAACTTCTACTATAATACATGTACAATTACATAATATAATAATGGTTTTTTGTTATAGTTTTGTTGTGATTATTTTTTATGGAATAGGGGGCAAACGAGCAAACGGGTCACCTGCTGGAAAATGACTACCACCGCCCATGAACGCCTGCAACTCAGGAGTCACAAGCGCGTTGCCAGCCTTTGAGGAAGGAGTACGCTCTTTTCCCAAAGGTTTGAAGGTCGTATCGGTCTGGCAAGGTAGTGCGAGGCAAAAAGTGTCTTTAATATATGTTTTAATTTCCAATTCACCTCTCACTGTACCATATTTTTTACTTCACAATCCAGTTCCAATTATATAACTCCTTTATTTCCTTATTTTACAATCTTATACTCATAACCTTTCGGTATTATGGATACGATGTTCCATAATTTGGTAAATATCGCTATATGTTTTTTTCAATATCCTATAAAAGAGTAAAGCAAAAAAGCAATGAGTTTTGGTTTTTAGGAATTATGTTCCTATAACATGTCGTATTTTCTCTTAAGCTTTCATAGTTATTATGTTTAATATTATTTATATATTATAGTACTAGCAATATGTATATTATAGTACTACCAATAAATAGCGTCATGCCGCAAGAAATGAGTTTTCTTTTATCTTTTACGTTAATTTTAAAACATTCTAATGGCTATTCTGATATTCCGGCCAGAAACAACCAACAGACCAAATAAATCAGTTCAGCGGTTATTGATTCTCCATACAAACTTCCACCCCCCTTTTCAGCCCCTTAAAGGATAATTTCTGAGATGAAATATCCTATGTCCTTTCCCGGGACTTGAACTATCTCTATACCAAATTTCATCTAAATCGGTTTAAGCGGACAGACAGACAGACACACTATCGCATTTATAATATTAGTGTGGAATAAAATATGAAATAAAACGAAAAAAAGCATAATAATTTTTCGCCATACAATTCCTACAGTGGCCAGCTGACTGCAATTGATTCGCCCACTATTATATAGGTAGCATTATTGTGGGAAAATGGGAATATATGCGTGTAAAATTGACTAGTGATGCCATTAAATAATAATTTAAACAGTCAAAAATCATGTGTACCCGAATTTTAACATCACCACACAATTTAAATTTGAAGGAACTGTGTAGTTTTAATAAAAATATTCCGGTCTGCACTAACTACAAAATTGGCAACAGAAAGCAAAACACGATGACACAGACATCCAAAACTCGATGAGATATTTAGGAAAATGCTTTGTTACAAGTCTACAACTCTGCGATAAAACACTTTTACGGTTAAAAATCTTAAAATTGATCGTAGATCTGATAAAGCAGTATTTCAATAAACGTTATTCAATATACTTTATTTATAGTCCTTCAAATGACATAATATAAATAATATATATTGAATAACCGTTTTTCGTAAAAGCCGACTAAGGGAGAAACTATGCAGAACAACAGCACTGCAGAGAGAAGGAAAACTTGACATAAACCCTATACCAACCCGTCTGGCCAGCGTGGTAGAGTAGGCCAAAACCTCCTTTATAAGGAGAGTCCCGCAGTGGACTATTAAAGGCTGCTGATGATGACGAAATACTGTTTTATCAGATCCACAATCAATTTACTTTATTTATATTAAGTTATTTGACATTTTACTTCATTTGACGTACTATAAATAAATTAAATTGAATAACGTTTATTGAAATACTGTTTTATTAGACCTACGATCAATTTAAAGATTTTTACCGTAAAAGTGTTTTATCGAATTTTATTAACATAACATAACATATTCCAACAGTTTAAGTACAAATAAGATACACGTAAATTGAAATGGGAATTGTAATGTACTTTACGGTACTACAGGTTTCATATATTTATCATTTATTATTTTTATTTCTTTTTTAAAGACAACTCCGGCACTAGGAATATGTCCTGTTTCGCGGGGGACTCCACAAACATACATGAAACGGACACAAAGAATACCTAGACTCAGAGCAACAACTTGTGGATAACACAAAGTGCCGGCCCATGTGGGGATCGAACCCACAACACTCAGCGCAGTAGGAAAAGGCGAGGTGAACCGTTTAAACCACTATGCCATCTGTGCAGTCTAGGAAAAAAATAATATCTTACTAATTTATTATATTAATGGCTCCAAAAACAATAAAAAAATGCACAGAGTTATGCCTTAATTATAAGTCAATGTGCTCTTTGTATATTACGTATTATTTTAAAGCAGATTCGTCGTTCGAAATAAAAATCTTCAAAAAATAGGTCATCATTCGTAAAATGTATTCAAACCAGGGCGTTACTCTCATTTAAAGATTGAGTTATTTTAAAACCAAATAATTGCATTGCTCTACTTAGTTATTGTGAGATGTATCTTGTAAACGTCTTAAAATTATCACTACCGAAGTACCAAAACAATGTGATTTTCCAGATTTGACAAAGCACATTCGTGTAATGCATTTTGCGGCGCTATCAAAATAAATAACATGAATGCGTGGTGCGACCTTCTAGAAATATCTCACATGCGTACCCCACGCCCTCTGCGTTCGCTTTCTTCACTGCAATAAAATGCGATTTTGATATTTGTTTGTGGCGGCTACGAAATAACAGACGGACGTTCGAAATCACGATGCATGACATAATCGCCACATAGATCCGGGCCAGTGTGCCAAAACGACCGCGGCCGGTAACTCCGGCGCTGCTTTTTTGGCACACTGTCAAAGGGTTATAAGGTGAATGTGTTGACTAAACGCGTGAACCGATCAACAATGTTTTTTATTGTTTGATCATACATTTCAGTTCATACATTCATACATACAGTACCACTGAACTAGGCTGAAACTTTTGATGTGTTTTAAATATGTAATATGTTTCGACTAACAATACATTTAGAATATACTATACAACAAATAATCTTTCAATCTGTACCTTAAAAGCACATTTGAGGCACTAGCAAACGCGTTTGACGGTTACTGGTAACCAATGGCTACAAACGATGTCAGTACCAGTAAGTATTACTCAACGTCTACCTATGGGGCTATAACAGTCTTAGGTAGAGTCACGGGTATGGGTGACAACACTAGCCAATCTGTGCCTATAAGGAATATTTTCTTATATTGCCTTCGAGAATGCCTACATTTCGTGTCCAATATACTCTTGTTTTTCCCATGTTTAGTTGCAAATATTTGTTTTCGGGCAATTACATGAGCCGGTGCATGCCCCTTTTGGGACCTTGGTTAGTTGTATATATAAATACACAGAATTAGATATGCTATAGGTACTGTTCAGTATGAGTCTCCTGTAGGGTGAAGATTTAGCCATAACAAACTCGATTCTCTACGTCCTAATATTATTTCCACATACTACAATTATTTAAGTAAGTTTTCAGTTGTATTTTATGTTGTACGTTCAAAAATAGAGGGAGACATGGAAATCAAAACCAGAGGCAGTAGGTTGGTTCACCGCATCACAATCGGGCAATTTTACTTGCTAATAATACCGAGTGACCACCGGCATAATACATCTCGTTATCCTGTTTCTTGTGTCATATTTGTATATTATGTAGCAGCTGGTGAGGCTGAACATTGAAGAATTATAGAGTTTATTTAGTCAATAATAATAACGCCTTTTTTAACACGGTTATTTACTCCAAACACTTTTTTATGCTTATAAATAATATATTCTTGTAAATTTTAATATTTGTCGTTCTCTTGTAGGTATATTTATTTATAAACTATGTAGATATTTTATTTTACATTTGTTACAGAGTGTAAACCATTAGACCACCACCATCACCAACCACACCATACACCAGCAATTGTTTTTAGAGGTAAAGCCGCCGTTTTTACACATGTACCAGACGTATTCCTTGTTGAAAATTATATTGGTGTACAATATAGTTTATTTCTAATATTTTTATTATACTACATATTTATGTTTATCATTTATTCTATTCTAAACGTAATATTTTTGAGAAATTTAGTAAAGATTAAAGATTTGTAGCTACGAGCTTAGTAACAAATACTTAAAGGACATCTAAACCCTCAAAATGTTCACTATATCAGGATTCTATGGAATTTTGACTCATATTAGTCAAATTCCTACTACCTATATATTCATTTATGTAACAATTAATCAGTTGGTGCAATGATTTTTAATCTATCATGTATTGCTAATCTGCGTCTGCGTCGTTTAATAATGTCACGTGTTTGAAGGTGACTTTTAAACCTAACTTAAACAAAATGAATGCTTGTGATACCATGTTACTCAAAGTTTTTTTTTATGTTAGAGAGGGCAGACGAGCAGACGGGTCACCTGATGGAAAGTGACTATCGCCGCCCATGAACGTCCGGAAGGAGTACCTACGGTCTTTCCTTGAAGGTATGAAGGTCGTATCGGTCCGGAAATACCGCAGACGATAACCCGTTCCCGGCAAAAAGTGTCTCGAAAAGCGCACAGAAGTGGAGCGCCAACTATCCAGGTAATGAGGATGAAAATTTTGACGTGTGGAAGGATGGCGGTTATTCAAAAAACAATAGGTTTTATAACACAAAACCATGAAGATCATTTGAACAAGAGCTAACTTATACTCACTTTTTGACGTGGGGCTGGTAACAGGTGCCGTGGTTGGCGTCCCTGGAGAAGTCACCGGTGGCTTGCTGACTACTGGGTTCGTTTGCGCTTCCGCTGCAAAAAAAAAAGCATTTATTAGAAATTTATTTACAAACAGCTAATACACGGACGCTGGGATCTATGTACTTTAATCTTAGTTATAAACGCTAACCTTGATTATTCAAAGCTGAAATTACTTCAAACAATATTTTGCATAACACTAACTACATCAAAAGAGGTTAGTCACCCATGTTTTGTTTAAAATGGAAGAACATCGGTGAAGGAAGTTGCCCGAGTCACACAAAGTGTCACAGTAAACGGTGACTTCTCACAAAGGGCTTAGCTCGCTATAATAAGACAGCGTCGCAGAGGAAAATAAAAACAAATATGAAGATGCGTCTTTGCAAACAACGAATTATTCGACAGCAGATGCCTGGTCATGTCGCGCTATGTTTATATTTACTTGACTTCCCCATCTAGACAATGTGTCTCGATATTCAGGCAGTATTGCTTCGTAAAGAATTTTCTAGAATTAGTATTAACATTGCAGTCATCAATTTAGAAGGTAAGCAAACGGAGACAACTAAAATAAACGTTAAATTTTAACAAACAAGGTACATTTTCCTATAAACTTAGGACCTGATTTTTCGATCTGTGAATACGTAGGTCCATTAATGATACGTAGGTATCATTAATGTCCTTTCTACGGTATACCTGGTTCCCCGGCTATTAGTACCCGAGACGGCGTGCGGTTTTAGTCGGTTCGAGTCCGACATGCCACCGACAGGTGGTATCCGAGGGGATTTCCGCACGGAAAAGAAAAAGGTATCATTAATGTATTTGTTATATTTTCAATATAAAGACAGATCAAGTCGTCAAAATTGTTGTTTTTCAGAACCATATCTAACATTACACTGTGATTCATAGCCTTCACACTGTTGACGCGGGGAAACAGCAAACAGATGATTTTTAAAACAAAATTAATCGCAAATGAATCACAGTACTCACTTGAGCAATAAATTTAAATTCCGCAGCATCGGACTACGTCATGAATGAATTAACATATTATACATATGAATCCATTAACGTAAATACCCACCCACGTGTTTCGAAGAAAAAAAGACCACTTACCACAACATCGGATAAAGTAAAACGATACGATTAGGCAATCGATACAATGTCATTCGACCGATTGAAGATTAAACTGGAAATTAGCTAACAATTTTGGCGAATGCAACTGTAGGCGAATGAAGGCACAGCTGTGGATTAATTTACACAACGGTAACGATTCCGATAAGTCTAAAATTAGCCACAGAACTCGATTATTTATAAGGGGTTGTTGTTGTAATGAAACGCACGGTACTTCCCGGCAGTGAGGCTGACCACTAACGACAAAATTAAAACTAAATGCGATCCGCATCGCCTCTGTTTAGAATCTGGTACCAGGAAGTGCATTCACGCTATCGCCCCAGCATTTGGCACAGCATTTTGTTCCAACCAACTAACCTATTGAAATGCACTTTAAATAAAGCACCTTTCAAATGCATCTCGTTTTCGTTCTAATAAATGTTGCTCTATGAGTCAAACAAAATATTTGAAGTGAATGTGTAAAGAATTGGGTTCATTTTAATACATCAAAAAGCAGTCATCTGGTCAACTAGCTTAAATGACTTTTATTTCACGTTAAATTTTGATTTGCTAGTCATATTCGCGCCTGTAATAAAAATTGATAGCAAAGTTCACCATCGATGGATACGTTCCAGGTTATATTATATTATCGTTGTGCAAGTGCTATTATTCAAACCAGTTCGTTCTAGGTCAGTCCAAAAGATTACCGCTAGTCCTGTCTCCAAAATTTAAATAATCACACAACAATAATAATTCAAATAACCACATTTCTAAGTGAACCGCGAAACTTATGTATCACCCCCTCCCTCCTCGGAATTAGAAGAAAAGAAAAAGAGAGAGAAGGCTCGGTAACATCACTCGTTCGGTGAAAAGCAACTGAAAATTGATTAACACTCGAACTCACCCACCGAGGGTTCCGTACAAATTTTGTACGTACATAATATAAATAGTTCAGGAATCGAGTCCCGCAGCTTTTGCCGATTTTTACCCGAAATACAGTTAACAAAACCTATAATTACTTATATTATTGTGTTTTATAGGTGAAATTGTACCTCGATGACTGATTGCGTGATTTAAATAAAGGCTAACTTTTTACGATTTAATTACAAATGTATAGTTTCAGATTTTTTCCTGTAATTGTAGTATAAGACGACGTTAGTTCTAAGTCAACGGGAAATACCCTATCAATTTTGATTCCCTTGAGAGTGTCGAAATTTGCGTTTTTTGGGGGCAGTAACTGCCGTATGTATCTTTTTATTACGTTGATTTAGAAATTTGATTTTCCATAGCTTCAAGGGACTGTAGACTTGAGTATATGGCTTTAATTTCAACTCGATACCTCCACGCGTTACTGAGATAAAGGGTCTTGACAGACAGACGGACAACAAAGTGATCCTATAAGGGTTCCGTTTTTCCTTTTAAGGTACGGAACTATAAAAATTGAATAATGGTAACCGGATTGCATATCATAGATAAATTACACTAAGGCACTTTGGCAATTTTTGGTCCTGGGTGAGAATCGAACTCCACATCTCTATCTCTGTAATTAGAATAGTAATGTAAGTATAATACTGACGATGTCAATATCTCGGGCGGTTGAAAAAAAACTGTGCTCTCCTCTTATTTACGTTAGGTCAAATTGGCAAATCTCAATAAGCATGTCATGAGAAATTTAATACAATTCGATTAAATAGAAGGCAGATGGTCCTTGACAGAAAGTCGAGATTAAATTCAAGTGTCATGAATAACAGATCGGGAAACGTCTGTGAGTCGTCTCACTTTGTTAAACGTAAAAGAGAGAGACGCAAGATTTTATTTTTCATAATGAATATTTACCGGATCGAAGCGGTAACAAACAGTTCGTCTTATTAAGCCGATTATTATCTGCCGATACTTAGATTAATCATTTAGGAAAATATGTTTCAATAAAGGAAAGTTCGACCAAACATTACATCAATCCTACTTTCTATAAATAATTTAAATAAAAGAAACAAAAATGAATGTAATATACTACTTTAAGTTTAAAAAAATAATTTAAATCTAAATTTAAAAAAATAAAGGAATAACATACTGTGGAGGATTTAGATCTTAGAAAAAATATTTTTTATATTGAATAATAGTTTAATAAAAGAAGTGACTTATGAAATTCACTTGTCATCTCATTTAAATCACTCAAAAACTAAAGCTTTAAGTGATTGTAATGTTTACCTTTTTTGTATGTTAATATATCACATAGCCAGAAGGATATTCACGTGTTAATAATCACTACTCACTACACAGAGTTCAGTTAACGCGGTATGGTCTAATAGACCAAAGCGCGGGCCAAAGGCCGGAGGGCAACTGTGACAGGGCGCGCACCCACAATGGGCACTTTCTGTATGTAAATCACAATAAAATACCAGCTTTGTACTGTGATTGCGACACGCTAAACTAAACACCGAACGCGTTACATGCTACTGTTGATTTTTATAAGCGAATACTGACTTTATAATGTACATTTTATGGATAATTTTGATGTTGACGGCTGCATCATCGGGGTTAGAAGGTGTATGAAGATATAAGCTTGTATTCAATTCAAAGATAACCAATCCAAATTCGAAAAATAAATAGAAGATACTTAGCTAAAGGGTGCACGTTGATTGCTTTTAATTATACAACAGATTAATTAATTCCTTCAGACGCTCCTAATTAATTAATAGTTCAAGAGCTTGCTGCTGAAGTAATACTAATAACAAGTTTAATTTAGTAGAAATAAAAAATAACCCGCCTTAATCTCCTTGAAAAGTAAAAGGCTCCTTAAAACCTTCTAAAAGATTCAACAAAACGAATTGAATAATCCCAAGCTCAAGAAACACCTCTGGTAAACACCACTAGTAAACTTACCTGATACTTAGTAACCACTGAGGAAATTCACCATCTATCTTCTGGCTCCGTCATCAGACGAACTTTAAGATATCAAATTATCTGATATATATGTATATATAGATTGCCAATAACATGTATGTTTCATTTCTATGTAACAATTGGTAGTAAGTTAAAATTAACATTTCCGATTTTGTTTTACATAGTTTGTGAATTAGTGGAGCTAATAATAACCGAATTGACTGACAAAACTATAGTAAACAAAATATAGCTAAACATGGAGTCTTTAAACAAACAACTCGATTAGAATCACCAATATTCGTCCTGCGAACGCCTCGCCAAAGCCCATAATACACAATTCCGTTGCGTGTTCGGCGTGATTGACATACAATAAGTATATTGTCAGATGGCAAGGTGTGGTGTCGGATTGTCAGCTTAATTGTGCGAGACCAAATAAGTTGAGTTTGTACCATCCATCACTGTATACGTGTCACAGGCCGTCTATTCACCAAGCTTCTATTAAATGTTCAAAAGTAGGACACCAAATCGCGAAATAATTTATCATTGTAAACTTGTTTATTAATTGTCTGTCTTTGAACAGGACAGATTATGTCAGTTTGGTAGTCACTTATTTTCATTTTGTTGTTTATTAAAGAAATTTACTTAGTCCATCATCTTGTTTGGGAACTATTTACATAGTAAATAAGCATTGTTGTTATGTATGTACAATACTCTGTAGGTTATTTCAGAATATAGTAGATTTATCGCAAAGTCGTAGTGTGCAATTCTTTTTACAAATTTCTGCTAACAGTTTAAAATTATGCCAAATCGTGGGAGAGACATGTTTCAGCACTTGTTTTTAATGGAGTGAACCAAATCCCTCACCTACTTAATACTGGTGGGGGAGGGGGAAACAATCCTAGAGTGACAATACACCTGTGTCTCAGGTGTTGCAGGTGTTCTCGGGCGGTAGTGGCTATTTACCATCAGTTGACCCGAGCGTTCCTTTGCCTTTTACACCACGAAAAAAACTAATACATTTTTCTCTTAGACAATAGTGCTAATTCTGTTGTTCGAAAACTCTC